GCTCAGTGTGGTGGGCGCCATCTCCCAAAATCCCAATGGGATCAAAATAATATTAACTAAACACACGCCTAAACCGAGAGCCAGGACAACACAACCTGAACACAGACATGAGATCCTCCCTCGGCCACTCACCAACTATAGGCTGTGTTTCAAGAAACTGGCTAATCCCTTGGCACCACATGCTTTGGGCATAATAGTCATTAACCAAGGTTGGCAAGGGGGAAATGATCACAGAACGCTCAGGTGAAAAAGATCTGAATGCAGTTTGGTTTTTTTTTTTTTTTTCTGAGACAGCATCCAACGTAGCACAGGTGAGCCTCAATCGGCTAAGCCAAGGGTGAACTGAAGTCCGCATCTGCCAATGTCCAGCTCACGAGTGGAAACTGGATTACGTGACAGACCGGTGTGCCGCCACCACCCCTGTTTAGGCAGTCCTGGGCATTGAACCCAGGGTCTCTGGTGTGCTAGGTTGGTGCTCTATCCACTGAGCTACATCAACAGAAGTCAAATTAAAAAAAAAAAAAAGATTACATTAGGGGGCCACTGAGATGGCTCAGCGGGTAAAGGCACTTGCCACTAAGCCTTACAAACTAAGTTCAACTCCTGGGACCCACAGAGTAGAAGGAGAACTAATTCCTGCCAAGTTGTTCTCTGACATACTCCCTCCCTCCCTTCCCCTCTTTAAATAAAGAAATGTAGTTTAAAAAAAATAAAGATTATATTAAAACAGCCCCTTCCCATTGCTAAAATATTATTTCAAGAGTGCAGGGAAGGTTGCTTATAGGACTTAATTAGTAAATGTATTTGCAAACAGCTGAAACGGCTCCTCAGGGTTCGGACAAGTGGGAGAAACCTCGGTTCTGAGCAACACCCCTCCCAGAGGTAAACATGGAGGAACATCCCTGAAATGTGCTGTTTTCAAGTGAGTGAGCGTCCTTTGAACCTACTGCTGTATCAAACACAAAATATTCTTAAAAAACCAAACTAAGGTTTGCCAGTTTCAGTGACAAACTGTGAAGGGCTGCGGCCAGTCACAGTTTGAGAGCAGGAGATTTCACTCCAGCGCTCACACGTGGATTTCAAGTAGCATTAGACTGGTTGGCCATATACAAATCAAACTGCTGAGTGGGCCAGGGACATAGCTCAGGGCTAAAGCTCTTCTTGCCTTTGGCCCTGCATTCAGTCCCCAGATCTGCAAAAATGAAGGGAAGAGGGAAAGGGGGAAGGGAGGGAGCAAGGGAGAAACTGAGTGAACATAATCACAGTATGCCTGCACAAGGACATTTCACATCACAATGCACGGGAACGGTTATTGCTAAACTGGATGAGCCTTGAAACTACCCTAATTAAAAGAAGTTATTCATCCTTAAAGACCATATATTGTATGATCCCATGTGTATGCACATACATATGAATATATGAGTATATATATGTGTGTGTGTGTGAATATATATGAGTATATATGAGAATATATAGATATAAAATGTCCAGGATAGAAGTAATCTACAGGGCCACAACATAGGAAAATGGGTGGTACCTGGGCAGGGGGTGGAGAGGAGGAGAGAAAGAAGATCTGGTGGTTTTGGGAATTTCCTAAAACTCATTTTGGTGATGGCCAGGCAGCAATGAATGCCCTGGAAACTACCAGGAGGTTGGTTCTCTTTACATGCCGGGCTACAATTCAGTGCAGCTGGGTTCTTTGGTTTTGCTCTCATTTTTCTAGTCCTCAAGTCACAATTGTTCATCATTTTCCACGAAAACCTTCGTTCAGCCATCCGAGTTTGTTGTCACGTGTCAGAGAACACACACTGGAATGTTTAATGGCTGAACCTACACATCTGTAATTGGCCTGAGTGTGCTAAGAGGAGGGGGTGTCAGATACTCAGATGTTGCTAGCTCCTGAGGCTGGTGATGGGCCAACCCACAGGGACATTACCTTCTCCTTTCTACATGTGTTAAAACTTTAATGTTTTTCATAATGAAATGTTGAAAGTGGAAAGGGGTCTTAGGACTTCCGGGTTACTTGTATGAACCCTGTGTGTGTGTGTGTGTGTGTGTGTCTGTGTGTGTGTGTGTGTGTGTGTGTCTGTGTGTGTGTACACTGTCTAAAAATATACACATTGAAATATTTATACATGAAATTAAAATGATATAATACTGAGATTTTCCAATAATATGGGAATTGTAATCTGCTAAATGGACTGGGAGTAAGAAGGACCTAATTCCTGCTTAACATCTCCTTGCTCTGGCATCTATCAGGACACACAGGACCAGTGACAAAGCCTAGGAGGAGGGTCAGATGATACCACTGTTCTAGTAGCTAGGGAGTAGCTGTGGTTTTGTTATACGGTGTGTGCCTAAGCCTAACTTCTCTCCTAGTACAGGATTTTTTAAGAGCTCTTAAAAACTCACCTACGTGAGTTTAAAACATGATACAAGTGTGGTATTTTTCTTCCTGAAACACCAAGAGAATCATGGAATCTAAGGACATCTACTTAAACCCTATTTACTTGTTCTGAAGACACAGTTAATATTCATTGGTTCTGTTGCCACTTTGCAAATTCTGAAGTCAGCCTTAGGAACAGGTCACACACATACACAGAATAAGTGACAGTTACAGGTCTGAATACTGACCTGGGGCACAGGGTAGACTTTGACATACAAAAGAGAACCTCTCACGTCCCAGTCCTGGATTCCTTCTCGGGTCTGATTAGCTCGCTCCTGAGGGCAAGCCTGGCCAGTGAACCCAAGGCACCACCCTGCGTGTTCTGTTTTGTGGGCTTTGTTTCTCATTTCATCAAACCCCATTGCGGCTCTGTTGACATCTAAGTGCATTTACTTACCTCTGAGATAATTTATAACTGCAAAATGATTTCAGATTTTAATTTTAGAAAAGGAAAGGCCATGTTTTGTGTGTGTGTGTGTGTGTGTGTGTGTGTGTGTGTGTGTGTGTGTGTGTACAGGTTATATGTGTAGTGTATGTACTTGTTAGTATGTCTGCATGTGTGTGGTGGCAAAGAACGACACTAGGCACACTCTCCACCTTATTTCCCTTGTTGAGACTGGGTGTCCCATCAGTTTGGCTAGGCTGACTGACCAATGACCTTCAGGGACCCACCTGTGTCCACTTTCCCTCAACCCCACCCCAGGCACTAGGGTTACAGACTCCCCTCTCCCCACACCTAGCTTTTGGGTGGGTTCTAGGGATCCAAACTCAAGCGCCCATGCTTATACATCAGACGCTTTACTGATGGAACCATAACCCTAGCACCCACCACAAAACTTTTTAATAGACAAGTTGTCTTGAGAGAACAACGGATTATGATTTTACAAAGAGTAAATCCATAAAATACATATAAGATTCTGGTCCACGGTACTTAGAGGAAAGAAATGCAGCCACCATTTGGATGGCTAGCTTGGTGGGTAGGAGGGCGGGATTATTATTCTCATCCCTACTCTATTTAGAGTACCCATTTCAAGGTTTTCCAGAACACTCACGAGACAGTGGCAGAGCCCAGGGACAGGACTCTACAGGGTGGTACTCTGTCAACATAAATTGTGACCTTCACTCATTATAGCATGAAAGGAGTGGGGTCCCAACAGAACCACTTAGCAAAGGTGTCTGAAAGAAAAGTAGATTGCCGGGTGGTGCTGGCGTACACCTCTAATCCCAGCACTCAGGAGGCAGAAGCAGAGGCAGGCAGATCTCTGTGAGTGTGAGGCCAGCCTGGTCTACAGAGTGAGTCTCAGGACAGTCAAAATACACAGAGAAACCCTGTCTCAAAATGGAAAAAAGAAAAAAAAGAGTAGATTGAGACTGGGTGATACAAAATTCTGAGTTAGGCCAGAGAAACAGAAACCTTGTGTCTTTAATGTTGTTATTCAAACAATTACCCTAGGTTCAATAAGTTCTCCCACATTTTTTTTTAATTTGAATTTGGTCTTGACTCTGGCTATGCTTTGACCAGCAGAGCATGAAATGTACACTCACTGAAGTTGGTAGAAAAAGCTATAGACACTGTCGGGCTTTCGGAGTGCACTCGTTCACAGAAAGGTCATTTGTTTTACTCATCCACCACAAGCATTGCACAAGGACCTGTTTCCAAGTCGCTCGGCCCCGGGGGCAAACCTCCAGAGGTTGGATGCCTTGAAAGTTGTGACACAGTTAGGAGGCAGGAATGAGTAGCCACCCGGTCTACAGATGCTTGCTCAATGGCAGCGGCTTTTCTCAGAGACCAGGCTTCCCTGTGCCTTATTGGCCAAGGAGGCAAGACCCGGTGCCAGGGCAGGGCAGACATCCCCAGCTAGCTGCCCCACACTTCTGGAGTGCTGGTGAGTGCATCCATAATGACAGGTTCTGCTTCTTGAGCACCCACTTCTGCAGGGCAGCCTTGGTGGCTCCAGGAAGCCACCCAGGGTTTGAGCCCTCCTTTAATGACAGGTATAAGTCACCAGTCACACACAACCTCTTATTACCTCTGAGCTCCTCAGGGTGCAGTCACCCAACACCAGATACGCTCTCATTTATCCGTGTTTTAGTGAAGAATAAAAAACAAGTCAATAGCCTCCCCCTCTTCAGTCTGTCACTTTGTCCAGAAGTACCCCACCCTGTACCGGTATTGTTGGTGTATCGGTGAGGAAAACACACCAAAACCCCTGCCCTGCGGGAGTTTACTTTGCCAATGTAGTACAAGTATTCAGTGGCCAAAGAAGTTTTAAATTGTTTTTCTCCCATCCTCATGCCAATCTCTCAAAGAGCTTAATATTGTGCTTAATGTTAACTTGACTGGAAACAAAATCCTTAGCGTGCAAGGAACAGATCCTGCCCAGGTGCAATCCAATTCTCCCTTGAACTTGACTGCCTCCCAACACTTTTCCCCCACTCACTGCCGCCAAACACTTGAGATAGCTTGAGCGTCTGCGCTCCCCAACTGAGGTCAAACAAAAACAACCCACTGCCCGGAGGGTGGGCCCCCAGCAGAGAGGCGCACAGTACTCACAGAGGAGCCGGCCCAGAACGGGCATGAGTTCTTCACCTGCGGCGAGCTGCTCAGCGACAGTGCCCCGAAGCTGAGCGCCACCATGCAGCAGCCTAGAATCAGCTGCAGCAGCCCGAGCGACAGCAGCGGGCGAGCCGGCAGCAGCGCGGAGCCGGGCGCGGCGGGGCGGCGGGACGCGAGCGCGGGCGGCGGGGCCAGCACAGCCGCGGGGGCGCAGCGGGGCCGGGCTGGAGGCTGCAGAGCGCCCCGGGGCCAGCGCGGCCGCAGCGGGGGCAGTGGCGGCTCCTGGGCGGCGGCGGTCGAGGCGCCAGGACCCCCGGCCTGAGGTCCGCCCGACAGCCCCGCCACCGGGCAGCAGGAACCCGGGAGCACCACGGGCAGAGACATGGGCGCACGGCGGGCGGGTGGCGCAGCGGAGCGGAGGGTGCGGCGCACCGGGCACCCGCGCCGGCGCCGCGCAGGACGGACTGCGCACGGCCCAACCACTTGCTGCCTCTGCCCTCGCCGGCCGCGCCCACCTGCCCCGCGGGGCCCGCCCCCCGCCGTCCCCTCTCGGTCACCCACGGTGACAAGTGCGCCGCCGCCTTGGGGTCACCGGGGAAAGGCGTCAGGGAACGGCGGGGCCCCGCAGCCAGCGGCCCACCGTTCGGAGTCTGTCCCCAACAGCGGCGCCAAGGGAAGCGTCGTCGACCTGGGTCCCTTCGAGGGTTGTCCTGAAAGTGGGACCCTGGCGACCTTTAAATGGGAAGGAAGTCCCGTGTGGTTCTCCCCCTCCCTCCTGCCTGGAGGAGGGGCTGCTGGCAATCCGACGGGAAAAGGTCCAAGCCAGGGAAGGCGATGCTTCCCTGGACGTTACTGCCTGGGACCGCGACCTGCATCTACCGCCTCCCTGGGAGGATTCCCGGCGCTGACGCTGCAGCCGTGGCTGGAGGGGACACGGTGCTTTCCCAGCACCAGAGTGGGAACAAGAGTGGCAAGACCAAGTTACCTTGGGAGTCACTACCCAGCATTCAGAGTGGAAGAGCCCAAGGCGGCCCTGTGCAGTTGGCAGGAGTCAGACGCTCCATCCTTCTAGCTTTGACCGGGAGCTAATTGACATCACCTGATAGAACACAGAATCCCAAACTTCCCAGGAAATAGTCTAATGAAATCATTATCTACTTTGGTAATTTATGATACATCTATCAAGCATTAAAGAAAAAGCAATTATTCGCCTTTGCACAATAGTTTCCCCTAATAGAATGTCTAGACAGCTAATGTATCATAGGTGAGCTGCTGATAATGGACTTCTTTTCCAGGTAAGAGCCAGAGCAGTGTCAGCTTGCAGCCGGTTCTAGCATTTGAAAGCGCGTCTTATTGGAAAGGGGAGGGGATTTGATTCCCTCCTGTTCAGTAAGACAAGAGAAATGCAGGTTTGTCTGTGTGCTCCGACTGTAAAGTCTGTATTTACGTTGCCATTACTTCACACCGTGTGATGTATTACCAACGTGCATATGTTTACGTACACACTCTTTAAATCATTAAACCACCTGTGATTAATAGTAGCTGGGACTTCTTTTCAGGCTTTGGAGGGGAAAGTAGATGTCTTCTTAAATAAACGCTGAAAGTCTGATGTCTTGTGTACTTAAAAAAAAAACCTACAATAGATGCTCTTAAATTGCAGGTGAAGATGAGTTAAGTTTCTTCAGTGCTGTGGTTATAACTTTTATTTTAAACACAAGCTTAAAAGTATTTAATTGTTAGGGCTGGATGACACCCTGCAATACAGTATGTCTGCTGAATGTTCAAACATTCTCTCCGATAAACAAATCTATTCTATTGGCCAGCGCCTGACACCTGAACCGCTCTATTAAAAATGCATTCCTTGTGTCTAAGAATGTTGGTGTTAGAAGTCAAAGTACCCATCTTTCCCTGGAGACACTTAAGACTAGGACAGGGTTGGGGGAGGTGCTGGTGACAATCCATTTCTTAGTGCCAGTGCTAATTACACAGCAAGGGTCACTGAAAATCCATACAGTTACACTTAGGGTCTATCTGCTTCTCCATGTGTTATATTTAAGGATCTACCTAAGGATTTCAAATGCCCCAAGTTTCTAGGTATTTTCTCTATGTAGAAACACACAGTAGCAGAGCTAAGTGAAATTCATAGATGGTTTTTATCTACCAGCTCTACTCATTAGAAGGTCACAGCACCTTCCTCAATGCTCCTCTCTAAGGGAGCTTTGTTGCTCTGTTTCTCTCCCCGACCCTCACTCTCTGCTGCTGTTGTCAACCTTTACGGCTGTGAACTCCTTTTTCTTGTTTCCATAAACACAAACCTCAATGAAATTGTCCCAACCTTTAAAGTTACACCAATGAATGCCCTCCAGTATCTGTGCTTGAGATTCCAGTAACCAGAGCGTGATACTTCACACAAACACCTGCTTACGGTAAGTACTCAGTCATACTTGACGGAGCTGTATGAAACAGACCTCTCACAACAAGGACTCAAAGCCGCTGAGTCCAGCTTGGTGTGGAAGATAATAGTAAAATAGGCAGGGAATGGAATTTGAGTGACCAGCAGGGGATGGGGCGGGAGGGGGATGGTAACTGAACCTTCCTTACAGGGTAGAGAGTTCCTCAAAAAGTGACATTCAGAATTAACATGAATCTACATCAAATGTGTACAAAAATAATTTCATAATTCTCCGTAGTCAGAAGATGGAAACAACCCAAGAGTAAGTCAACTGGATGAACATAAAACTAACATGTGGGGTACCCACCCAGTATAACGAAGTACTCATGCATGCTACAATGTGGATGAACCCCGGAACCATGCTAGGTGAAAGGCCAGTCACAGAAGGCACACACTGTACAATTCCATTTCGATAAAATGTCTACAGCAAACAAATCCATAGAGACAGTAAGTCACTTTGTGGTTGTTGAGTGCTGGGGAAATGGAGATATTGTGGGGGTGGGTAATAGCTAATGAATATGGGGGTTGGTGTCTCTTTTCCCAGGGTGATAAAAGTATTCTGCAATTGACGATGGTGACTACCACACCATTCTCTGAATATATGAAAAACACTGAATTGTATCCTTTGTTTAAATGGACCAACTGTACGCATGATATACAAATTATAGTTCAGTAAAGTTGTTACAAAAATAATAAACAAATTTAGGAAGAAGCTGTGGAAAACTTGACCCAGATGCCTTATTAATATAGGTAAAAGTTCAAGGGAACAATAGTTGCACTGTATTGTTTCATGGAATCCAGCAGCCAATTGTTCTTGAGATCAAAGTCAATTCCAAGAAGGGTCAGTTAATTCCCAGCCACTTTCCCCCTGCCTGTCACTCAACTTCCACTCCTGGTCTTATTCCCACCCACTTTCCCCCTGCCTGTCACTCAACTTCTACTTCCTGAGGAACCCTTCTCCTCTGAGGAACCCTGCTCTCTGGACATTGTTCAAATCACACTTCGGTTTCTTCTACACTGCTCAGCAGACCCACCCAGCAAAGCTAATTAAAGGACATTATTCCTGTCACAGTGAGAGCTGCTGAAGAAACTTTTCTCAAAGCATGTTCCCTGGCAACCTGCCTCTGGCTGTTATATTTCACAAAAAGACAAGGCCTTCTCTGAGTTAAGAGACTCAAAGAAGGACTCTCAAAAGGCCCTGGAGCAACTTCTCAAAGTACGTTCCACAGACTCCTGAACCATGACAGGGTGTGGTGTGTTGAAATGTGGGCTCACAGACTTTCCCCAGCCCAGTGGATCCAGAGTCTCTACTGGATGGCTAGGGACCTGTGTTTTAAATTGAGAGAAGTATTGGTATCTGAAAGTATTCAGACTCCAGAATTTTATGTCTATATTATCATATAGTAGAAGTCTAGGGACAGCCATTTTGTTAGAAGGCCAATGTGGAGCATTTGGTTTAAAAGCAAGCTTGCATGTACATGTGTTGAGGTGGGGATTCATTGGTTCCCAGCCAAGTACTGCTACCCAGGTGACTGTTAGACACATGGGTGGAAATGGCACCTGCCACCCCTCTGTGATCTCACACCAGTCAAGGGCTTCTCTGACCTTGGTTACTAGACAGCACAATCACTCGGATGTCCTTAAGCCTGCAATTCAGCCATTTATCACCACTGTTTCTTGGACTTCCAGTAAGAGAAGAGGGCCTAAGAAAGGCAGGAATCCTGAGATGTATGGATCCAAAATATCCAGGACAAAACGTCAACCCACCCTTCTAAACTCTGAGTCTTTGAGTGTTATGATTGTAGTGTTTCTAGCGGGGGCTGTGATGTATGAGAGGACGTAGGGAAATGGATGGGTGGAGAGTTCAGGGAACTCTGTGTGTTTTTGTGTAGGGTTTTTGTTGTTATTGTTGTTGTTAAGAGAATGGAATAAACGTGGATTAATGAACCAATGAAACTCTGAGCATAGCTAGGCAAATTAGACATTGTGTCTTTCTGAAATAATGATAGAAAGTACTTGTGAAGAATTGCTAATACCTTGGCTCCAACACAGATTTGTATGTTAAACAGGAAAGCTTCAGCCATATTCTTCTCATTGTTGAAATTAAATACTTCTTGCATTGAAAAATCTCACAAGGGCAACTCAAGACAACTTCCTTAAAAACTGTGCTTTACAAGTTTCTAAGATAAATGAGCTAGTGTGAGTGGTGTGTGTGTGTGTGTGTGTGTGTGTGTGTGTGTGTGTGTGTGTGTATGAAACCTATGGTATCAGAATGTCCTGCAGTTTTGAGTTTCTGTAGAAGTCAAAGCTGTAATTCACCTTTGTCTGAGGAGCTGGTCAGATTTACCAGGGAAACTGAAAACTTCATATACTTTCTAAGGCCACACATACTCAGAGGTGCTGATGTAGGATGTCTGTGACGGAGCAAGGATATGCAGATGTCTTTAGCAGAAATTTCCTTGAAGATCTAGGTGTTGCTCTATCAAAAACACCTTGGGGACCAAGATATCATTCCAGGCAAGAGTTTAGAGGGGTGTGTGTGTGTGTGTGTGTGTGTGTGTGTGTGTGTGTGTGTGTGTTAAATGAAGCTTAAAGAGAACCCAATGCCCGAGGCCCTGGTGTCAGGCTACAGGTGGCTGGAATATCCGGTGTCCTACTCACTGCAGTGTGTGATCTGTCTGTCAGGCTCAGGCTCTCGTCCCGAAGGACAGGAGCTATGTCCCCTCCTCCACTGAGAGGCTTTGCAGTTTAGGAAGTGACAGAGATGAGCCTGATTGTGCCAGGCCCCTAACGACACTGATGGCACTCCAGCCACACCACCCTAGCTGGGTTTGGGATGTGAGGGGAGACCTAAGCTGGACACAGTGGTGTGAGCTTTCAGTGTTTGGGGAGGAGGCAGGTGGGTACAGTCTTGGCAAAACCACCAAAGCCCCGTGAGGTTGGGAATTAAAAAGTAAAGCCACTAACACCAGACTTGTAAACACAGACCTTAAAGGTGGCACCAAACAGAAGGGTGGGCATGCCAAGTGCACCTGAGAGCAAATTCTGAAACCATCCAGGAAGCAGGGGCCTATGCAGCAACATGGAGGGCTTGGAAACCAGAAAAGATAAAGAAAGAGCCACTGGACGCTTAGAGCTTCTGCAGATTGCAGGAGGCCTGAGGCATATTTTTTTAAAGACCTATTTATTTTTATCTTATGGGTATGGTTGTTGGGCTTTGTGTGCATGTCTGTGTACCATGTGTAGTACCTGCAGAGGCCAGAAGAGGACGTCCAATTCTCTGGAACTGGAAATGCCACTGTTAGCCGCCATGTGTACTGAGAACTGAATCCCAGTCTCCTGCAAGAACAATAAATGATCTTAACCACTGAGCCATCTATCTCCCAGCAACAACCTCAGACATGTTACCTCACTTAAGACCACCAGCAGCCACACTAATCGGTTAATTTTTACCCATTTACAAATTAAGAACTCTAGCAATAAGGAGAACGAGGCCCAAGGATTGGGAGTTTGAGACTTGGCTGGGCCACAAACCTGTCAAGAGAATGAAGAAAGAGCATGGGGAGGAAAAGAGGGAGGGCGGATGGAACTCGAGGTTCAAAGGTAACTAAGTGTGGTGGTGTTCTTGTCCCAGATACTCAGGAGGTTGAGGCAGGAGGACTGTTTGAGCATAGGAGTTCAAAACCAGCCTGAAATAGAGTAAGGCCCCATTTCCAAGAACAAACAAATAAAACAAAAACAAAAAACAGTGATTTAGAAAAATTTCCTTAAATTCAAACTGTAAAGACACAGAAAAAACCTAACCCTCTTGATTTCTGGTTCAGTTTCCCAACGCAGCAAGAGATTTTGTGTCCAGCTTCATTCATAATTCAGCAACTTGTAGGCTGGAGGTAAAGGATTTCTAATACCTTAGTTAAGGAAGACGTTTTAATTATGTCTGTCCCATTTCCGGTGACTGTTTTTGCTCTGCCCAGGGTAAGTCATCTTCCTTGTCAGTGTAACTGAGGTTAGAATCACAAGGGACACACACCTCTGGGCACGTCTTTGAGGGTGGTTTTACTGAAAGGTTTAAGTGAGG